TTAGGATGAGATGGAGCTGCCACTGGGTCAGCCCTGCAGCCTCGGTGCTGCTGGCCTTGCTGGAGAGGAAGTGCTTGGCACTTCAGACAGGAAAGTACAGCCAGACATCCCGAGTTCACCTCTCTCCGCCCCTCAGCATCCAGGACAGGAGAGGGGAAACCATTCCTGCACACAGGTCGCTGCTCCCTCAGGCCTGGGTCAGCTGAACCCCCAACTGATCTCACATCCCCGAGACATCAACACCAGAGGGAGAATTTGCTTCCTCATCCTCACCAAATAGTCGGATCGGACAACTGTTCTCCAGGATTCAGACTCATGGGGAACGTGGGCCGTGCCTGGGCCTTGCTGAGCCAACACGTTCAAGCTGGCCCTGGAGGGCAGTGGCTCTTGACGGGGCACGAAGAGACAATTTTGTCCTGCAGGGGGCATGTGGCCTTGTTTGGGGACGGTTTGGGTTGTCACAACTGAGCGGGGAGGGGCTGTTGGTATGTTACGGGGAAAGGCTAGCAATACTGCTAAATACCTTGCAATGCACAGACAGATGCTAAAACGAAGGTGACCTGACCTGAAGTGTCGGTAGTTGCAAGGCTGAGAAACCCGGCTGTAGAGTGAAGGCAGAGACCCCATAAAACCCTGGCCAGGAAACTGCAGAGCTCAGAGCTGCCCAATGAGGGGGCGGGGCGAGGGTCTGCTCCCGAAGTCTTGAGTCCGAGTTACACCAACACCCATGAGGGAGGAGGGATGGACGGCTTGGGAACCAAAGGCTCACTCAGTTGGGTAGAAGGTGGTTTTCCTTGGATGAGTAACATCTGGGCCTCGCTCTCGCCCTACCTAGAATCCCTAACTCGAGAGCCAGGCCACAGGCCACCTTCTATCTCAGCTTTGCCCAGGCATCTCCCAAGGTGTCTTTGAGGAGGGCTGCCCCCCAAAGGGATCCACAGAGGACGCCTCCACCCCGCTCCAGAGCCCCACCTACGGCTGTGAAGTGCCACGCTGGGCACGGCATCCTCTCCCGGCTACGCCACCAGTAGCTCCCTCTTATGCACCAAAAGCATCTGGGCTTTGAGGCAGGCATCCAAGGCCCATTGCAACGTGTCTCCACCCACCTTCCACGCCACGCCATGGAGCCCTCCACTCCGGCAAGCTGGGCTGCTTCCCACCAGCCCCCGCCTGCTCAGCAGTTGCCTGGTCTTACAATGCACCCCTCACATCCCTCATCCGCCCGCTGACACTGCCCACATCCTCTGGCTCCCACCCTTCCACACAAGTGCAGATGAGCTGCCACTGGGTCAGTCCTGCAGCCTTGGTGCTACTGGCCTCCGAGTCTCCCTCGCCCGCCTCAGGCACTGACCTCACCCTGTTGCGTCCTATCTCAGCCCCTCCCCAGGGGTGAGCTCTACCTCATGAGAGGGGGCCAGGTTTCCCCCACCCCTGAGCTCTGCTGGCACCCCCCACCCCCACCCTAGTTTGGACACATCTCACTAAATGCCTCCTGCCAAGATCTGTTTTCAACATGAACGCTGGAAATGAGGACTTCCTCCCAGCTGCAAACTTCTGAGCACCTAAACAATGGCCCTGGAGGAAACCCCCACCCGCCCCAGCCCATCCGACAACGCAGGGAGGCCAGGAAAGGAAACAAGCAGAGGCACCTCGAGGACAAGGGATGCCCTCTCCTCCCTGATCTGACCCGAACAGTTCCCACCAGCACTGGCCAGAGCTGAGCCTGTGACTTGTCCTTGAAACACATCACGAGGGGAGACGCACAAGGTGCTAAAGCGAAAAACGGGGAAGAGATCGGGAGCCTGCAGGTGCCGCTGGCACAAGCTCCAATGCAAAACTGCAGCAACATGGATTTGTGCCAGCAAAAGCGAAGAAAGGCTGAAAACAGAAGTTGGAGAGTGTAACATCTTCAGGGTGCGTGTCTGAAAGCACAGGGCGGACATCTCTGGGCCCTCGCGGGCTGCCCCAGTGGAGGTGCCCCCAGGATACTGGGATGTCTCCCTAGGATGCTGCTTTGAAGTCATCGTCCCTAAAAGAAGAGCCAAAGGCTGCCTCATTTCCCGCTCACACAGCGCTGGCGGGGGTGTGAGGTTAATAAAGGTGTCCCAAAATTCACGCAAGAAGTAATTTTGATAGAAAACACAGGTTTATAATTAAAAATTGTAAATTTTTTATTGATTCATAAAGTACACTGTATAGGGTTATGTATGGAATAGCACATCGGGTAAATGGCCTCCACGGCTTTGCTGGCACATACGAAAAGCCGTGGTCTTCACTGGTCTTCATTGTCACTGCTCCTGGGCCATAATTGGTACTTGGTAATGCTTATCAAATTGAAGGGATTGAAATCAAAGGGCAACAGATATTAGAATCTGGTTCAATAAACCAAGTAAAATTAGGCTTTTATTTGTTGTTGTTGTTAATGCTCACGCAAAATTCAAATCTTGCGTGAATTTTGGGGCACCCTTTATAACCTCAGCCAAGGGCAACGTGGCAAAGTCTGCCAACGTGACAAGGACACAGGGCCTGGAACCCAGCATCTCCTTGGAATTCTGTCTCCCAGATCCACCACAACAAAACGCCCCATCCACAAGGGGAGTCACTGCAGCCGGCTTTTATTTGTTGTTGTTGTTAATGCTCACGCAAAAATCAAATCTTTCGTGAATTTTGGGACACCCTTTATGACCTCAGCCAAGGGCAACATGGCAAAGTCTGCCAACGTGAGAAGGACATAGGGCCTGGAACCCAGCACCTCCTTGGAATTCTGGCTCCCAGATCCACTGCAACAAAACGCCCCTCCCACAAGGGGAGTCACTGCAGCTTTATTTGTAGAAGCAAAGGACTGGAAACAAGCTAAATGTGTAGCAGCGGGAGGCCGGTTAAATAAATTATAGGACATCCTGTAAGGGAATGAGAAACGGGGAAATCACGCTCCTTGCCAATAGGAAGCCATCGCTCCCCGTCCCACGCAGGGCGGCTGTGAGCAGCTCGTTACCGCCTGTGGGTTTGTAAAGGAATCCTGTCTGTGAAAGAAACGATGGCTGGAATAGACACAGATGCTCTCTGACTGTGGACACAGGAAGTCAGGACCGTGGCTGCCTCCGAGGAAGGACAGACGCTGGGTGGTGAGACACCGGGCGAGAGGAAGACGCTCCCGTCTGAGCACTTTGGTGTCTCTTTATTGTGTGAGCACATTACCTACTAAAAATAATTTAAAACACTAAGGACACACAGCGGTGATGTCTGTTTCCTGTCACGTCCCCCTGTTTCTTCTCTCCTGTTGCCTCCTTTCTGTGCTCACCCACTGGGGCCCCTCCCCCCAATGTCACACATAAAGGGAGAAGCATGGGGGGGGTGGGG